GATGAATTTAATTAAATATCAATATTTATTTTTTAAATGATGAATTTAATTAAATAATTAATAAATTAAATGTCAATATTTATTTTTTTAATATAAATTTATGATAAAAATATATTTATTACAATTTCAACATGTACTTTAAGAGTTAAAGTTAAAAAATTCCTTTCATAATAATTAATGAAAAATAAAAAATATGTTAAAAATTTTGTTATTAATTAGGTGGTTTAATTAAATTTAAGAAGTAATTTATATAGATTATTGAAGTAAAATATGTTACTAAATAAAATAAAAAATATATCATTATTTTATTAAAATATTACCTAAGTGTATGTATATTATATAATAGGTTTAATACCCAATTTGGTCCCTAAACTTTCTTTTTGGAACTTAGGTCGTCCTTTAACTTCAGAAAGCACCTGAATAATCCTTAAACTTTATTTTTTTGGGACTCAAATGGTCCTTCTGTCACGGAATTGCATACCTGTAACGGTTAGATCTCCACCAATTACCTTTTTTAATTTTCACAAGCTTACGTGGATAATACACCTCACCCATCGATGACATGGCAATATCCAGCCCTGTAAATAAAATCGCAGAGTAACTTGATCAGAAACAGAGTTTTTTCGCTTTTGGATCTGTTTAAGTCAGGTAAGAGCTCAATTAGGACGCAGACGGCGTCGGAATCTTTCACCTTGAATCGGCTCTTCTTTGACATTTCTAAGATCTGGATTAGAAACTCCAGTGCACATGAACTCGCCTTGCTGCAAATCTCGTCAGAAACCAACTCTAACAGAGATTTGAAGAATCTATGCCTTAATCTTGAAGCAAGAAATTCCAATTGTAACTGGAAGTAGTCTTTGCCATTTTCCTGAAAATCGTTAACGCATGGAGCCTCGCTTCGGCGCTTCCTCTTTGAAGGATAATTGCCATTGATTTCACGCACTCTGTTTTTGACAAAATTTTGAATGTATTGTTTTGATCCTTCGACAACGAAAGCTTCCGCAGAACGCCGAGCACCTCTTCGTACGCTTGGAACGTGACAAAATCAAGAATGTTGATTAGAATCTGAACAATTATTCAAGCAAGAATTTCAACGCCATTGAATCGAATGAAGTTTGATTTAGTCTCGTCCCTAATTTCGACAATGGATCGGAGCTTTTTCAAGGCGGTGAACTTAAACGGAGAGGATTCGACTGTGTTGAGGAAGAAGACCAGCTCGTCGTGCTTGGCGGAGAATGGCAGAGACGGAGGAAGAGATGAGGAAGAATGAGTGTTCTGCCAGGAGAGAATGAGTCGCCTGAGGGTGTGATTGGGAGTGAAGTGGAAGCAGTGGACAAATTACATGGTACCTTTTTTTTTTTTATATATATATATATTTAAAGGGTTGGATATTGCCATGTCATCAATGGGTGAGGTGTATTATCCACGTAAGCTTGTGAAAATTAAAAGAGGTAATTGGTGGAGATCTAACCGTTACATGTATGCAATTCCGTGACAGAAGGACCATTTGAGTCCCAGAAAAATAAAGTTTAAGGATGGTTCAGGTGCTTTCTGAAGTTAAAGGACGACCTAAGTTCCAAAAAGAAAGTTTAGGGACCAAATTGGGTATTAAACCTATATAATATGAATTAATTAAAAATTATATTATTACTAAAAACAAATGAAGTAAAGGGACAAAAAAAAAACATGCAAAGGCGTGCAAGTTGAATGCCATTCAAGCTAACGACAAACGGCGTCACGAAGTCCATTTTCGGCAAAAAAAACAAGCCAGATCAGGTCCCTTCCTTTTTCGGGTCCGCTCCTAACTGAATCTTTTGGGAGATCGGACAGAGAGGGAGCCGAGAACACTTTAGGGAAAGTGTTTTGTTTTATTTTATTTTAGGTTTTTTGGTTCCAGTTCGAAATTTTGGAGGAGAGCAATCCCAGAGAATCCGAGAGGTTTTGGAGGTCATGGCGACAGTGAGATTGAACCCAAGACACCTGATAGAGCCATGCAGAAGGCAATGGCAGAGGCAGATGAAGAAGAGAGTAGAGAAAAGGGGAAATGGTCAGTACAGATAGAGCATTCGAAGACAGCACCAGCAGATTTCAGGAGGGTTGTGAAGGCAATGCCTACTGTGAATTTGATGCTAGTTTTGACTGCGATTGACGATCATTTCTTGAAGGCATCTGAGAGTGCCCAGGAGGTATCCAAGATGTTAGAAGCTACAAGGTTGCATTACCACTCCAATTTTGCAGACAATCGAGGTAATTGAATTTGCTTTGTTTTGAAGTGATGTGGATGTTGGCATCAGTCAGTGTGCATTTCTGTTAGACTGTTTCTTGGTGGATTGATTTCCTTGAATTAGTCTTCATTTGTTAATTCAAGGTTTGCTGTGTGAAAGATTAAAGCTTGAAGCCATTTTAGATGTGATCCAATTTTTAATTTCAAATTATCTGAGAAGCTTTTGGTTCATTGGAACTTTTAAGGCTGAGAACTTTTATTTTGATTTGGCTGCCTTTCCATTATAATATCATGACAACCTCATATCTATTCTTACTTTAATGTTTTATTCTTTGATTTCGATGACCACAATTTGTTGTTCCTTGTTGGTCAATTGTTCTTTTAACCCCAAAAGTTGACAAATATTGAGGTGCTTTTATTATACTGATTTTATTTTTACGTAGATTATCATCACATTCTTAGTAGAAAACGTTCTTTCTTGGACTGAGGCTGAGAGCCTTATTTTCAAGTTGATTAAAATAATGGGTTTTGACTTCTAATCTTGTCTTGTAACTTCGATTTGATAAAAACTATATTCCATTATGCTTCTAGACACATGGTTGATTATCTTTTGTATTTCCATCTGATTGCAGGACATATTGATCATTCTGCCAGGGTCATGCGGGTTATTACATGGAACAGGTCGTTTAGAGGTAGTATGTCCAATGGTGAAGGTGGGAAGGATGATCTTGATTCAGAAGAATATGAGACTCATGCCACCATTTTAGATAAGTTGCTAGCATGGGAAAAGAAGCTCTATGATGAAGTAAAGGTAAAGTGCGCAAGGTTTCTTGGCTAATCACTTCTTTTCCTAGAATGTATGTTTAGAGTGATTATATTGTACCTTCTAACTTATCAACTCACACTGGAAACTTACTATTGCTACACTGAATAATTGAACTGAATTTTGGTATCACTTGGCAATTCTTTTTCTTGTTATAATTGTTTGTGAAGTCTTATTGGAATTTGGTTTCATGTGGATGTGATAGCAAGGGGAGCTGATGAAACTCGAGTATAGAAGGAAAGTTGCTTTGTTAAACAAGCAAAAGAAGCGTGGTGCAAGTGCTGAATCCTTGGAGAAAACAAAAGCAGCTGTAAGTCATCTGCATACAAGATACATATAGTTGACATGCAATCCATGGATTCGACTGTGTCAGAAGTAAACCGATTGCGTGATGAGCAGTTATATCCAAAACTTGTTGGGCTTGTAGAGGGGTAAGATTTTCTTAGTAATATCTCATTAAAAAAAATATCAGTATTGCATTGATCATGACAGTATATGTTTGTCATATGGACCATAGGATGGCCAAAATGTGGAGAAGTATGTACGAGCATCATGCGGGTCAGCTGAAGATTGTTACAGAACTTATAAGTCTTGATATTGCCCATGCTCCTAAAGAAACTACAAAGCACCACCATGAGCGCACCATCCAACTTTTTTGGTTCTTTGTCTAATTTCTCTAAGGAGACTTAAATCTAAGCCTAAAAAGGAAAAATGCAAATCAAATTCTTCGCTAAAACTAGAAGCGAAGTGTTACCTGGTTCCCTAAAGTCCGAATGCAACACTTGGGAAAAAACAGACTGTCGACGCATAACGAAACCTATGTTTTTATCGTGTGATTTAACTTTAAAAATATATTGTTTTTATCGATAAAAATATTTTATAATTTAAATTATAAAATATTTACTTAATTAATTTTTTTTATAGTATAGGACAATTGAGCATGTATTGCAGCATATTCTTTTATAAAACTTAATTGGTAGTTGGTAGAAATAATAGTTTATAAAAAGAAAAGTATAAAACAGCTATAACTCTTTAAAAATTGATATATACTCTAGATAATAACAGTGTAGGGTAGATAATTTTTTAATTTTTTTTGAAATATTTGTTTAAAAATTTATCTTTTAATTAATATTGTAAAAAAT